GTCTGTCTGTCTGTCTGTCTGCCTGTCTGCCTGCCTGCCTGTCTGTCTGTCTGTCTGTCTGTCTGTCTGTCTGTCTGTCTGTCTGTCTGTCTGTCTGTCTGTCTGTCTGTCTTGTCTGTCTGTCTGTTTGTAAGTCTATCTGTCTATCTGTCTGTCTGTCTGTCTGTCTGTCTGTCTGTCTGTCTGTCTGTCTGTCTGTCTGTCTGTCTGTCTGTCTGTCTGTCTGTCTGTCTGTCTGTCTATAAACAAGTTGTTACAAATCTGTTCACAAGCTCGCACTGGTTGTTCCTAGTTGTTGTAACAAATTTGGAACAAGCTGTTAACAACTTGTGGCAAGCTTGATCGCATTATCAGACTTGTTAACAACAAGGTTGTTCTAACAAGTCTGATACAGTCATGATATAACAAGAATGTTACAGGGTTGACCACACAAGGTTGTAACAATATTGCATGTTATATCATGCCTGTATCAGACTTGTTAGAACAACTTTGCAACAAGTCTGATGATATCAACAAGGTCGTTACAAGTTGTTGGGACAAATAAGCTGAGCGAACACAACTTGTTGACGGCTTGTTGTCAGACTTGCTACAAGATGTTAGATTTTTGCGTGTGTAGTTAATGAAAAAACACAAGTGAAATCATGACTGATGAAACCTGTTCATTTATACATAAACTTTAAGTCATTTTTCTCACCAAATATCGGGAAAGGTCGGTTCGCTGACCTCATGCAGAATGACATTTCGTCATAACTTTTTTTCTTCATTATTGGTTTAGAAACAAACTTGCAGTATATAGGGTTAGGTTAGGGTTAGTACTTGGAATAGGGTTAGTATATTAGTAAAACCGTTGCTTTGTTAAGTTTTATCACTCTGAGGCAAGCGAAATAACTTCTTCCCCAAATATCATTAAAGTTTTCAGATTACTGAAGAATATGAACGTTAACATCATGAAGAATCTTATATATAATACAGTATGATTGCATGACTAACTAAAATTTATAGACATGCATGGTTCGTAGGCCGGACGCTAACAGATTTTCTCATGAAATTATGTTTGCTTGCACATATCGATATGCCAATTATACCACAATGGGATAATTGACCTGTCTATGCTTCAGAGAAGTTTAAAACTGACCTATCATTTTCCTGATTTGATGCTGCATAAAACTTTGACCTTGAACTTGTAGAACCAAAAACTCCATGTTCCTTTCCAAAAACGGTTCACTTGCCTGAAAGCAATTAATGTAATGAAACCGTTATCATTGCGAAGCCAAAATATTAAACTGAAGACACTCAATTTTATTTTAGTGGGGGAAACGCACACCAAATTTGGTAACTAAAGTGATAAACTGAACAATGTTCCTGGCATAATACTGCCATATTAAGGAACAATTATAAAACTGTAAAAAATTTCAATTCAACTTGTCGTATTTTTAATTGGATAAATGTCTTCCTTACCACCTGAAAACGGATGATATATCGTTTGGCACTTTCCTCCTTAAAATCTCTGTCAAGAAACAAATTTCTGTCAATAGTAGATTACATGTGAAACGAAGAGAGGGCGCGTTACGATACAGCTGAAGTGACCTTTACAGTCATCAGGGTGTTAGCTAGCCCGTATACTGTCCATTTGACGGACTCTTCCCAATTGAAGTAGCTAAGGGGCTTTCCCAACTGGGTCTTACTGGAAGATTTTCATTTTTTCTAATGACAAAGTGCATTGCGTTTGATTTTATATTATTATATCAAAGAACGTTTTATTTACTTTTTCCCATTAACTATTTTCTTAAAATGTATCGCGTTTCATTCATATTGGGTGTGTATTCACTGAAATGAAATGTACAAAACAAAGTGTAATCGGTGTGCATCCGTGTTCATTCACCGGAAATGAAATATACAAAACGAAGTACCATCGGGTGCATTTTTCAGTGTTCATTCACCAGAAATGAAATGTACAAAACCAAGCTACCGTTGTTTGCATCTAAGGAGAAACACGTTGGAAAAAAACACTATTTATTCCTACACACGGACTTTGATCGGTCAAAAAAACTTTCCCAATTTTCCCGGACAAAACTTTTTTCTGCCTAACATCCTGTTACTGTACGAATTCTCGTGTGAAAAAATGAAAGCGGGAGAGCGGGTGATTCCAGTTACAGACAAAATTTTAATCAAGGCAAGAAAAACGAAATCCAACACAACAGCTACAATGAGCGTCTTAGAATTATTAAAACTACAAACATTGGTTGCTAAATGTTGTAAATGTCGACAATTTGTCGTTCTTCTTGTCCAGATCAAAATTTTGTGTATAGTTGGAATTATCCATTTGAGTACTGTTCCAAAAAGGACGCTTGTTCCAAACGCCTGCTGTTTAAAACGTGACATAAATGTTCTCTCTTGATGGTTACTTACTTGCCAGAGGTAAAATTATGAAAATTCTTTGTTCCTTCGTATTTCTTTAGAACTAGTTTTAGTTCGTTTAAAATTTCATCTTTAAACGAAAAAAGGTTAACTCGCATAAACGTCTTGGGTTATTTACTTTATTATTTGAGAAAAAGTCACAATACACAATAGTAGGAATGGACATTTTACTTGTAATTCTGAAATCCCTTGTTGTATGCTGAAAAGAATCGTTAAAAAATGAAATGAAAAATTAGGTCGCATACATATGCATGTATACTGTATTTGTCTACCTTTATATTGTTACAATGAATCGCCAATGATCGCAGCTTGTACGCACCTTTTCAATTTTTGCAGGCAAAATCTTGTTAGCCAGCGAGCTATTGTACCTGAATCACTCTGCGTATGAACGCGATATTTTCATATTCGGAAAGATCAGGCTTTTAGCTGTTGAATGATATGTTCTTCACACAAAATGGATAAAAAATAAGCAAATACGAATTCGATAAAAAATGTTAGTCATATCGCATATTTTCACCGTTGAGAGTTGGGTCTAAAACAATTGAAAATTAACCCCCTTTGGGACTTAAGTTGATGAATATTCACTCAATAAACCATGCACATGTTCATAATTATTATTAAGCTAGCAGGAATAAATCTTGGCTAAGCTACGACAAGTTCGTTTGTTATGCACTGCTTTAATTAGGCACTGAGGTGAAAATATGCGATTCTGACTAACATTTTTTATCGGACTCGTACTTGCCTATTTTTTCTCCACTTGACATGAAAAACATGTCATTCAATAGCTAAAAGCCTGATCTTTCCGAATATGAAAAAAAAATGTTCACACGCCGAGTAATTCACGTACAATAGCGCGCTGAAGTTCGACTACCTTTTTTTATACATGCACCTATAGCTGTATAGAATCCTGACTAACAATATTTATCGTACAGTAGGTTCGATTCCCACCGTGTCCGTGGTCAGGCATATTTTTCAAGCTTGCCCGGTGTGGATATGCACTCAGAGTAACATCACAAACATAACAATATTTACCTCTCAAAGTCAAAGTGACAAAGACCCAAACATATCATGCAATTTTACAGGCACAATTTTGCTCGCAGACACAAATAATTTTAATGAATCCTACAGCTTGTCAATACAATAGTAATATGAAAATGAATTTATACATTTCACAATTTGTTGTGTTGTAAACAGTGAACGTAACTTACTGCAAAGGTTGGGGAAAACGCAAACGTTGGCAAAATGTATTCATAAGTTCTTGATGAACATCTAGTTTTACAATCAAATCCACGAGTGACTTGCTTCAAAGCTGGGGATATGAAAATTAAAGCATGTTGTTTCAAAGAAAGAAGGAAAAACATATTAAGAATGAAAGAATGAATAAAGATAAAAGAAAAGCAAGAATGAAAACAATGAGGATTTTGAGGAAGATCGGAAATAAAACATTAAAAAATAGTTTAACTGCAACCTCGTACCCAGGGAACCCGTGTTTAAAGGTTCTGGTGCACGCGTTGGGAGGTAGTGCACAGTAGTCCTCCCAGAAAAATCCTCAAAGAAAACTTGGGAGGATAGAGAGAAATAAAATATATAAAATAAATTACTGAAGCTTACCAAACACTCTAATTTTTGGTTCTAAATGTTTGTTAATATCAGGAAGTAACTCCTTGAATGGTACCATGTGCTGAAAACAAGATCAATCGAGAATAAATCTATTTTACTGTACCAGCAGAATTTTATAATTGTGCAGATTATCTCCAAGTTACAATGTCAATGTTCCCTAATGTGGCCTATTTTGTTATCCTACTCAGTACGCAGTATAATGGTTGATGATTTTACTTGCTGAAAGGGAATTTCCATGTCTCTAATGGACCCATTTGCATTATAGACTAAATTTTGGTCTAGACAAAAAATTCATCACAGCTTCAAAGAGCATCACAAAATTAGTAATATTCCAAAGTTTCGTTGCGAAATGTTGTAAAATGCGGATAATATAGCCCTGCGAAATTTGCAATTTTCAGTCATTTTGTGTTACAAACGCGAAATTGATGCCCCAACACCCGATTGGGCTGTCAATTTCCCGTGCGTAATACAAAATGACTGAAAAACGGCAAACTTCGCAAGGCTATATTATCCGCATTTTACAACATTCCACAACGAAACTTTAGAATATTACTAATTTTGTGATGGTCTTTCAAGCTGTGATGAAATTTTTGTCTAGACCAAAATTTAGTCTATAATGCAAATGGTCCATTGTTAACCTGTTTAGGACTACAATATGCCTATAGATGCATGGCCTAGTAGGCCTACTGTTTTGTTTTAGTTTGTCTAAGGCAAGACAATTTTTCTTGTCAAGGTGGAAAGTGCGGGGAATTAATTGCTAATGAATTTACATGTAATTAAACCAATATTCAAAACTTATCTTAAGTGAAACAACTTGACGAGCAGCTGAAACACCTTTGTCTGTTCTTGCACATCTTTGAAAAGACATCTAAAAAATCAAATCTTGTAAACAGAGAAGCTACCCTAATGACATCTTATTCTTTATATTAATTTCTGAATAAAAGTTCTATCAATCCATCTTGTAATTCAAGATATGAGCCTATGAGGACCTTTATTTTATAAGTTATTGACAAGGCAATGCATTATTTCAACAATGTGTCCCTGGCAATATATTTGTCCAAAATTTAACTTGGCAAACCTTTCCATAATTTCTTGATGCATCTTCAGAAATTGCTCTTGCTTTAAATAAAGCATTTGTAAGATCTTCCTCAATCGTCTTTACACCAGGATTCCTGCAGGCGATTAATTTGAAATAACATTAATATCTTTGTACTTTTTTAAACAGTCTTTTGGCAACAATGAAAGGAAATGTCTCTAACCCATTTGTACATGTACAGTGAGTCACTACGGAAATTTATCCACCATTCGTTGTTATTTTCTGTCTAATGCCAGATGATCTTTCATTTTATAAAAGCAACAATGTGTACATTTAATGGTTACCATCTATCTAGTCCATGCATTCTCTTGCCCCCAAAATGTGTCATACTGTATATTATATCAAAACATTCAAGAATATGACTACATTCCTAATATTGTGATATATCTTGAGAATGGCAACATCTGATCAGTTAACATATAATTCTACAGGGATGGATTTACAACTCGGCACCAGAGCTGGCAGAACCCTACCAGATCATGCTGGATCCATCCCTGCATGAATTCTGCTAAAATTAGCTGATAATAGTTTGCCATTTTAGCAGTACATTGTTATGATATGAAAACATGACATACTTTTTGGGTGGGGGGAATCTGGTAATAACCCATTACAAGCAATAGACAACTTGCATGTTAGACTAATTTTTTATTCAGGGGGAAAAAAGTAAATTCCCATAAGGAACTTACTAAAATCAGTAAAATTTCAAAATTTGGTTTACGAAATGTTGTAAATATATTATGCAGAAAATATAGCCTTGCAAAATTTGCGTATTTTCAGTATGTTTGTATTACGTGCGGAAATTGTTACCATTTTTGAGCCGGAAATGGTAACAATTTCCGCACGTAATACAAATATACTGAAAATATGCAAACTTTGCAAGGCTATATTTTCTGTATTTCACAACATTTTGCAACCATATTTTGAAACTTTACTAATTCCATTATGTTCTTTTTAACTGTTGTGTTTTATTCCCTTCTCTTTACTTATAGATTAAAATTTAGCCTAACATACAAGTTGTCCATTATATCTGGTTGAGCAACCTACTCAAATGACCTAGCTTTAACTCTGAAGGTCTAAAACCAGACGATTTGAAGGGTTGTTGTACTGGGTGATCAATTTTGTAAAGAACTTTATTTAAAGATTAATATACTGTACAGGTACAGCATACAGGTACAGCATTATAAATGCAAAAAATTAAAGTTATAATTGTCCAACCTTTGCATGCCATTGTAGCCACTTCCACAATAAGATAGCAATAGCACACATTTCTTTTTCTTGCTATAATTTATTTTTGGTTTAACCTTTAAATAAATTATAATTTCAAAGTTACCAATAGGTGTACACATTCTATGTAAAAGGTTTAGTCCAACAAAATTGTTTTAAGCAAATCAGATCTTTTTTATTAACTTTTTAAGTGGCAATGTTGTCCTGGCCTGCACCCAACTTTATTTATTACCTTACTCTGTCTAACACCAGACAATTTTACTCATCAAGGGGAAAGCATTGGCACAGAATGGATAATGTATGCAATCTTTGTCATTTCATTGTATGTGATCTGAACATTTTGTACCCTTATGACAATGCAAGTTTGCCTTGGTGTATTGATTGCATGAAATACGCCCAGGATTGTGCATGACCTGCCAAGGGAGGATTGCTGACAGAGTGACAGGTTGAACACCAGGGGCCAGTTGTTCGAAAGTTGATTAACTTAACCCTAGGTTAACCTAAAATTCAAAGCAAACTTCCTGACAAGCACTTGTCTATAAGAGTTTATTTCTCTGAACTTGTGAAATAAACAGAAGTGCAGAAATACAAATACCAAAACAGCTGGTTAAATTTTAACTGAGGGTTAGCGCTAACCCACCTTTGAACAACCGGCCCCAGATTTAAACCTTTTAGATCTCTTTTTCTAATCCTTCCTGTATCCTTACAAATAAATCCAGTAAAGTTTCCTATTGCGGTCGATTGAACTTTGGACAAAAAAAACTCGACCCTTCCAAGGTTAGCAACGCCATAATGAAACACAATAGTCCAAGGGGTGCAAACACAATGGAATTCCCTATAGGTAAATTTGCAGGGGGTGCAAACACAATCATGATTTAATGATTTAATGATTTAATTTAATTATTTAATTTAATGATTTAAATTAAATCATTATTAAATTATAAATAACACTAGAGGAGGCATTGTAATCTTAATTCAGTAAAAAAAAGGGAACGCGACTATTGGGGGACAAATTCAAGTAAAATTCAGGTAAATTTGCAGAGGGTGCAAACACAATCATGATTTAATGATTTAATGATTTAATTTAATGATTTAATTTAATGATTTAAATTAAATCATTATTAAATTATAAATAACACTAGAGGAGGCATTGTAATCTTAATTCAGTAAAAAAAAGGGAACGCGACTATTGGGGGACAAATTCAAGTCCCGGATGTGTATTCGTGTTCCCATTGGTGACGAGTTTCAAATCAGCCAATGAGAGCACAATTTTATATCCGGGACTTGAATTTGCCCCCCCATTAGCTGCGTTCCCAATTTTTAAACTTGATGCCTCCTCTAGTGTTATTTATAATCGCTATGTGCCTGACCCCCTCCCCATACCCCTCTGAGGGTTATAAACATTGATGGTGCATTATTACAATGATATGAGAGAAACAGAAAGACCTTCTTTTGACCACCATCTTCTTTCTTCTCAACATTTATCTCATCAGTTTTTTCACTTTTATCATTTTCGACAAGATCACAAGTCATTGGGTCTGGGTCATGGTCTGTCTTGTTTGTATTTTCAGATTTTAATTTTTTGTTCCTTTCATCTATATTTTTACTATCGTCGTCGACTTCTTCAATAGCTCTTTTTGCACTCTCCTGTTCTTTGATTTCTTCGTGATCAACGTTTTTATCATTCTCCATTTTAATAAAACAAAATTATCGTATATTTGCCTCGTAATTTTAGAAGTTTATAGGTTAGTTTAAAATGATATAAAAAGCAAAATGCTCAAAATTGCCCTCGAAATACTAAAACAATAGATACTCCAATATTCAAAGATTATTAGCGACAAAATACTCAACAAAACCGAATTTTAAAACTAAAATCATATTTTCACATGTTGGCAACCATATTGTTTACGAGCCCGCACAAAATGATCTATGCGGTCGCTCATTTAAATAGAAAAATAATATAAACGGAAATTTTCGAGTGCACGTTTCTCGGATTTTCATCGGGTATTTTCGCTTTTTTCTTGAATCAGAATGATTTTGAACAGCTGCTGTTTGCGGTCTATCCCGATAATCCAAGGACTTTTGCGCAGACAGGTAATAATTTTATTCATATATTTTGTTTTTGTGCAAAATAAATACGTTCCATGTGACGTCATTTAATGCATTCCCATGTGACCTCATTTGGCTTTTGCTCTGGCAAAACAAAAGAATATTAATCAGATTCTCATGTTGCCCAGGTGCACTATAGGTACATGGCTCATCCCCAGTAGCACTCATCCCACATTGAATGATGGGAATGCATTGATAGGTCTAGAGCATTCCCATGGACCTTTGCATTCTATTGTCACAGAATAAGGCACACAGAAGGGCCACTTAATATGTCGGAAGCTTTGAAGTTTCTGTCACCCTGGCCGCCATCTTCCTAGCCAGTCGATTACATTTTCTGGCCAATAAACGCGCTGTATTGGCTGAAGGCCCCGCCTTCTGGCCAGTCAACTGCATATTTTTGCATAGAAAAATGGTGACACTTTGCAAAGCTGAGTGGCCCTTCTGGTACTGATCTTTATTCTGTGCTATTGTTCCAACCCACAAGTGCCGCCTTGTCGAGGGACTGTGGAAGAGAGTCAGCACTAGTATAGTAATTGAATCTGAAGGAGAAGAATCTGACATGTCAAGCCTGCCCTTTGTGTTCAATAACCGCTCTGGCAAAGGCAGTATTTTGCTAGGAATTGTCAGATCCTTCTCGTTTTTGTAACAATTTTAATCCCAAGAGTATCAGAGTATTCAGAGAGTAGGTTGCAGGGTAGAAAGTTAGTTTTCCTACCTTATTAATTACTTTTCTGATGGCTATCTTTTATTTTGTATTGCTGTCTACTATAACCTATAGAAGTGTATCCAGAGATCTGTATGTTTTGGGGTGTGGCTCCCACCATGGAGTGAACCCTATTTTCATTACAAAAACTAAACCTGGTAACTCTAAACTGGGTTAGTTATACAAGTGTAAATGTGGCTAACTTGGGTTCGAACCAAGAGTGCACCCTGGTTAGTTTTCATAATGTAACATCCTTACATATCTACTAGATTAGCAGCCGAGGATATTCTAGTTGCACGTCAATTATTTCAAGATTAACTGGGAGAACATTGGTATGTATGGTTTGGTTTTATAATCAAAGTTTAACATTTGGCATCTACAAAATAACTGTTTGAAGATCAATCCCTATTACTCCTTTTTAACCTGTTTATGTCCTGTAATAATAGTCAATAGGAAACAGACTTGCTCAGCTTCGCAAATGGTACACAACAGTCAACACAACAGATTATGTTCGAAGTGAAACAGCTAGAAAAATTATAGGTTTGTACACTGTTGCTCATAATATAATCAGATAACATACTAATTGTGCAAAAATGCTCCTTGATCAGATCATTTTCTTCTTAAACCATGAGTTCCATGCAATTGGCTGCAAAAGTCGATCATCATGACCAAGTTATGCTCATGATACATGTGAGATCTAGCTTGCCGTGCACATACTGCATGCAAATTTTATGTACACTTATATATTCAACACTGTTTTCATCACTGACCACCATGACATGGTCGTGATCATCATGCCATCAGGTTCCCAATAGAAGCTGGCACCTGGTAAATTTCGCCGCCTAATTGTAGACAATCACCCGTTGTTTCTCAAAATTATAACCCAAAATATTTCCTCTTCACCACAGAGATATCGGGCGAAAGACTTCTGGATTTTAAAACACAGATTTTTCACAATATACTTCATTATAAATATTTACTAGATAACATAACACAATCTTCAAAAAGACATCTGGGAATTCCATTTCAGATGGTCTGAATTTTTAAAGTTGGACTACCCAAGTGGACCAACATAAGCTGCCTACTTCTTTCAAAAAACCTCAGCTACTTTAAGTTTTATTAGAACACATGTGCCATGAAAGTACACTGTGGATCAGTACATCATTAGAAGATCCTAATGGACCTCTCTGGGCATCAATTCTATCACATAACTGATATTTTGTCAGATATGTGTCAATAAAAAAACTTGGCAATTACCCTTCTAAGCCCATTCACACCCCCACATTTGAGTGAAAGTGTTGTTATTTGAAGGTTACTGGCTGCTTGGATGTAGTGGTATGGTATATGGAGCAGTGGTGTTAGGTGGTGTCACGAGGTTGACAGAGTCTGGTCTCTCAATGGTTGACTGGCATCTCATCAAGGGAATGAAACCTCCAAGAACACAACAAGAGTGGGAAGACGAGTTCAAGAAATATCAAAATTTTCCCGAGTATAAATAGTACGTCAACAGGGCATTAAGAAAGCTTCGGATTGATAGGGATGCACAGGGATGCCGGAACGGGGGGGGGGGGGGGGGGGCGGGCGGCAGATTTTCGTGAAAGGGCACTTTTGAATTGATATATACGAAGAGATGTTTGCAAAACATCGGGAGTTGAACTTCGGGGGTTCTCCACCAGGCGATTGTGCTATTCTTGAAGCTCGATGACTGCTTTTCTTGCGTTTTCTGAAGCAAATTCGTAAAAGAATTGCACTAACATTTCTGACAATTCGCTATTTCGCTAAGGCAATCCTTTAAATTGAAAGGGCACCTTTGCCCCCCTTGGGTCAAATAAAAATAGTAGTTGGTTTCAGGTTTCACAGCCATGTTTTATATCAGGTAGGTAGGTCAGAAAAACATTTTATTTAAAAAAATATTTTATCTCAAGTATACATGAACGGGATCACCTGCGAGCTACATGTGTTTCGCTAGAAACAAACGCATCAAGGCGTTTTCGTCTTTTTTCAGCCGTAGCTGCCATGCCAGAATAATGTACGTTTTTAATATTTTTTTAATATTTAACTGTTCTTTGTGTAAAACTATGATTAACATGACTAGATAATGATTAAATTATAAGCAAACAAAATAATTTTTAGACAAGTGAGCCTGATGACTCTACTGGGAAATGTGAATAAAATGTTTATGACGTTTATGGTCGGTCATATTTTTGACAGCTCGGTCGGAAACCTGAAACCAACTATTATTTTTATTTGGCCTTGCCCCTCCTGGTAAAGGGCAACGGGGCGGCTGCCCCTCCTGCCCCCCCCCCAGTTCCGGCATCCCTGGAGATGCAACTACCTGAGAAAATACAAGGAGAACTTCGACATTTCGAGCGAAGTCCCTTCGTTGGGAATTTAGTGAACTTTTCAGACTATAACTATCCGACGAACAGCCTTCTCCTTGAAGCTTTCAAGATTATTGGTACTACCTACACTGGTACAGACCATCCAATAGGGGATTATTGAAATTAGAATGTTTGAAGTCCATGACGATCGTTTGTTTTCTTGGCATTCATAAGTGGCAACTCGATCCTTTCTTCCAAAATAAATTGCATGCATCTTTTTTATTATCCGCTTCGATATACGCCAAATCGCGCGCATCACCTTCGCCTGGGGGCTACTCTACACGTTGTTTGGGGGATGGTCGGAAATTGCAAAACTACCGACACGCAAAAATCTCACATCTTGTAACAAGTTTGTCAACAAGCCGTCAACAAGTTGTCTTCGCACTGCTTGTCAAAAGTTGTCAACAAGTTTCGAACAAGCTGTTAACCACTTGTAACAACCTTGTTGATATTATCAGGCTTGTTACAAGGTTGTTCCACTGTATAGTCATGATATAACAGTATTGTTACAACCTTGTGTCGTCAACCTTGTAGCATTCTTGTTTATCATGGCTGTATCAGACTTGTTAAAACAACCTTGTGACAAGTCTGGTAATGCCATCAAGCTTGTTACAAGTTGTTGACGGCTTGTTCCAAACTTGTTACAACAACTGGGAACAAGCAGTGCGAAGACAACTTGTTGACAGCTTGTGAACAGATTTGTAACAACTTGTTTGCAGACTTTTAACAACTTGTGCGTTTTTACGTTTTTCAAAATGATTTTCTTATGTCTCTCGTATTTGAAGTTGATTTTCAGGATGAAACCATACCTTATATTACATGGTAGTTCAGTAAATGAAAGTTTGATTTTAATTGATTTAAAATTTATGACTTTTGTTATTTATAGTTTGAATGAAGGAATGACATTATCGGAATTCAAGAGAATATTCTACATGGAGTACGCACACAGAATGTGGGGCCGCTCAATTGGCGCTGTGTTTTTCTTGCCCGCTGTTTTCTTTGCGTACAAAGGATGGATCACAAAATCTTTAAAACCAAGGTTATTTATTTATGGAGGACTGTTAGCTTTCCAGGTAAACTGCAATTGGAAGAGATGGCTCCCGTGGATCCATTCTGTATAGACTTTTTTCATAAAAGCATACCTTGTTGCGCTATAAATCTTCCTCATCAATGCAAAGGCAAAGTCTTGCCAATGTCAACAAAAATATACACGTAAAAACGTACACGTTGTAACAAACCAGCAGTAGACTTGCAGCAATACTGTATTAGTATTGTAGTTGTTTGTATAATGGTACATTAATGGTACATTACAGTTACAACTTTTAAAAGTTGCTTTTCACGTTGTTTGAATTGTCTAGAATCTTCCACGAGGGCACACAGTACCCCCAAAATGGAGGATTTTGGCCTTCGTGACAGAGGCTAATTTACCCGAGTTCTAATCACACAATCGTTAAAGTTGTGCCTTGTTATCACAAATTGTCAGCGACAACCATGTAGCAATTAACTTAACGAGGAAATAACACCATTGTCACAACTTGTTGGAAGTTGTTACAAGTCTTTTGTAAACACATTCTAATATTTAATTATATATCAATTACAGTTCATACAATTGATATATTTTTTAGGGTTTACTTGGATGGTACATGGTCAAAAGTGGGTTGGATGAGGAAAAGATTAGCAAAACTCAAATACCACGTGTTAGTCAGTACAGACTGGCGGCTCATCTTGGGTCAGCGTTCGCACTTTATGCACTGATGTTCTGGCAGGCGTTGACACATCTCCTACCCCCACAAGAGGTCATGCATCTAAACTTTGAATGTATTTTTAATATTCAAAAGAGTAATTACAGAAAAATAACAATTTTACGTTTTTTGGTGTCACTGCTGAGGATCCCGGGCTTAGGATCCATCGAAATGTGGTGTTGTGTACAAACCTAAACATACTTATTATATCATCGCCATGCAAACCGAAAGAACGTAAAGATTTTATGATTTTAAGAATTTGCTCATTTTAATACGCGCATAAGTACAAAGCAGTGCATATTTTAAACGTTTTACATTGGAGGGCCAAATCCAAGATTAGGGTCCAGTGTGGGCTCTCCAGAGTAAGATGCTGGTCACTCAAGGTAAGGTTATAGGGCCCAGTCTGAGACACTAACTAGTGGGGCCTGCGGGGCCAAATGCTCCCAGTGTTAAAATATGCCTTGGTACAAAGAATATGCAGAAGATCGTCTTGACAGTGGAAACAGTTCCCTCCGTGACATTTTCTAGTTTACAAATTACAATGCCACCAAAACGGGAAATTTAAACAGATCTACTATACAGACTCGTCTCAGCAAATTTATTTTATACTAACTTTTTGATTCCTTCAATAGCTTGCCAACACCAAGAACATTCGTCATCTTCGCATCTATACTCATGGAACACTTTCGCTTGTATTCCTCACAGCTTTGTCAGGTATAAGACTGAACGTGATTTATTTACCCAAATTGTTGAAAAAATAATTAATTTATCAAGTAATTAATTGATAATTCTATTTTTCAGGTGCATTTGTGGCAGGTTTGGATGCAGGACTGGTTTATAATTCCTTTCCTAAATTTGCTGATCGTTGGATACCCGATGATTTGATGGTGATGAGTCCCAAGATTAAAAACTTCTTTGAGAATGCTACAACGGTCCAATTTGACCATCGTCTGATGGTATAAAGTTGTTCTTACTTATGCGGAAGAGAAAATTGTCCTATGTAGTGAATGTCAGTGGCGGACACTATGGCGAGGCAAAAAAGTTTAATTAAAGAACTAAGATTCCCAGCTAAAAATGTGGTCATATGCCCATATGTGTTGGCAACCTATAGATGTTGTTTTATTTCGTTGTTTTGGGGATGGGTGTTTGGGCAATTACGGTTTGGGCAGTTGCTTACCTAGTTGCTATAAAATTTAGAAAACCGTGGCATTTTTTATTTGTTTATTGTTAATGCTGGCGCCTCTAATCTTATCTCTGAATTAGGGTTGGGATTAGGGTTTGGAATTAAGATTGCAAAGATTAGGAATTGTTTAAGGGTAAAAATCGCTGTATTTAAATTGAGGATATTAAATATGGAAATTGTGCCATTTTAAGTATCATTTCATTTATTTTTTTACTGCAAATAGCCTATACGTTACAGTTTGTTTAACAAACTTTCGCGTCATTTTCTTAGGGTATGTTAACATTGTCTGCAGTGGTTGGTTTGTGGGCAATGGCGAGACCTGTAGATCTACCTCGTCGTGCCCGTCTTGCTGTCAACGCTACACTCGCTATGGCTGGAGCCCAGGTACGTTTGGTATGAACTATGACTGATATGAACAACCCTTTCCAACAATGAAAAGTCTTTTTAATCTTTTAAAAAGTCCTTAAGATAAGTTTATTTAATCTTTCAGGTCATAATATAGGCTGCATGATACAGCTGACTGTTTATCTGAAAGTATATAATTCAATGAATATTTAGGTATTTGTTTACTATGACTAGAAAAACATTGTTTGTTTCTTCAGGTTTTGCTTGGAATTTCAACCCTGCTATATTATGTTCCAGTCCACTTGGCCGCGCTGCATCAATCGGGTTCTTTGGCGCTACTCACATTCACTCTGTGGTTTGGACACGAAATTAAAAGAAACAGACTCATGCCTAAAGTTTGAATACTGCCATTTATGATATTGGATGACGTGATAGCGGAATAATGCCCAAACTAGCAGACTAAACAGACTATTGCCCAAAGTTTGTGCTAGAAACTATATTTAAACTATGCAGTGGTTAGGAATGAAGAAGACTATTTATGTAGTTTTAGAACAACACATAACTGTCATTGACAATGTATTGACCATGATCACGGGGACAGCATGCCAATAAATTATTATTTTGCAAAACAGCCTTTACCAAAAAAGACTTTACCGAAGTACTGTATAAGTGGAATTCGCTAAGCGAGGCACTTGGTACCTGCTCGCAGCCCCCATCCAAAAATTTGAAACGGAAATTTTCCTTTGACGAACGAAATTGGCTGCGATCAGGATAAGCACTTGGTGGTTAACTCTAAAAAGAAAAGAAAGCTATTGCCAAGTGATCAAATGATTCACTTTATATATGTTGACCTTGCGTTTGGTATATATACACTCTAAAAATAACCCTATTTGGGTAATACTTCTCTGGTTAATTTTCCTGGTTATTTTAACCTACAATCTAGTTAATTTGACCAGTATTACCTGGTTAAACTAACCAGACTATGTTAGGTGGATAAATAAGTAGGGGCTCCTGGCTGAAACTTGGGGAGAAGTTTAGTATCCATATAATCCTGGCCAAAAATATTGCTACAGTAAATCGTTACAGTCAACATGAGTGTTGATTTGTGCTCCTTTGGGATTGCAGCCATTAGCAACTAAATCCACCCCCCAATCCGTACAATGGTATGCTGAATATGATGGCATTGCAAGTTGTGACTAGTAAACATTGTGTGGGTAAAAGGGGTGGGGGAATCTGAATGTACGATTCTGTATACAATGTGCATATAGGTGTCTGCAAATAAAAAAATTGGAGCTGTAATTTAAGGCCACTCAAAAGGAATTTGTCCATTTTTGCTAAGTTTGCCAAGGATTTCTTGACGAGGACTATAGTTTTACACTGAAACATCATACATAGCCTACGGCTAATTAACGAATCAGAATGTCGTTTTATTTGTACAACACGTACAAAAACAAATGTATATTAAGAAATAAAAGCATTTTAAAGCGTGTGTGTGTTTTGGCAAGGGAAAGCTGCAGTAATGCCACTCATTTAGAAGACTGGTATTTTAAACGGATTATAGTAACGAGTTTTCCTCATTGCTGAGTGGTCAAATTCGGCTTTTAACAGGCGGAGCAGTTGCCTCATTATTTTTCTTCCTTTGTGAATCCAGAGTTAACGCCTCCACACGAATGCAAAACTATTTGCTATTAATGTATTGTACATATTTTGAAACTGATACAGCAACAGCTGCACGCAAGGAGCTTGTTTGATTCCCTTTTTGAGATAAAAAGCATACTATAGAATTGTGTTTGGTGTTTTTCGAAGTATTTTCTGCAACAGGAACTCGCACGAAGACGTGTTGTAAAATAACTTTCCACACCGTCCAAGCCCCTGGCTGTGATAATCGCTCATTGTCGTTGAAAATAAACAGGCACCGAGCAACTAATCGCAAAGTAATCGCTTTTTTGATCAATTATTTCAAGCATTGATTAAACGAGGTAGTTCACGACACCCAAAGAAGGAAACTTTACCTTGGGAAGTAGAGTTCAGTCAATATTCGGACAGGAAAAGGAAGGGTTTTTGTGGTGAATTAAAGTGTTTTGCTGTGTTAAGGTATGTTGCAGTTGCCCAGGTGCAAATGTAGACTGTTGCATCGTCGGACGACCTTATGAATATGTAGAGTGTATGCTAGGTATATATATTGTGTAACATGGAAAATGTAACTAGATTCTGTCGTTGATAACGTATCATGTTCGATACTTTGGACAGTTCCTAAACTTAAAAGACAATAGTTTAGGTATATTATACATAACTATAACCAAACTGCTTTAGGTATTCAGCTTATATATCAACTAGTTGGTTGTATCCGTATTCTCGTATGTCCACAGTAGCGAAAACGTCCCGAAATTGACAGGTATATTTAGTTTCTGATCTTGAAACGATAGTGGTTTCCATATGACATATGACGGCCGTAACCGACGGAAACATTCATGACCATATCAAGAAGTGCCGAAACGATGCAATGCAGTAGACATACCTTTACAATCAGTAAAGCTAATTTGCATATAGAGCACAGAAAAACAAGGTAATATACATCCATGCAGAATATTTATTACCGGTCCCGTGGCGTCATCAGGGAACTCACTTTACTGTTTAGGTGTTTGTGTACTGGAGACTGGAGTCAGTCTAGCTTTACACATGCAGGACATAAAATAACTGTATCAAACAGAGCCAGTATGGCTCCTGCTATTTGGCGCACTCAACAACAAAATAATGTATATCACAGACACAGTAGGTTCACAGTAGGAACATTAGATAAACTGATAATAATCAGTAAACATCCTACAAAAGAAAGTCAAATAAAAAACAAAGTGTTATATTAGCACAGGTTGTTATAGTTATATATTTATAGTTTTCTTATAACTGAATTAGATTCTCTCGATAACACTGATGTATAGTGTAACCGCGTATTATACAGTTGCAGCAAAGCAGCTATATGCTCGGGTATACATACGATCAAATTCCAGTGTATTTTCAGACCGGAGCGCAAATGTGAAGACCAATTACATGATTTAAAAATAAACGTTTATGTCGGTATGTTAATTTCCGACGCGTACCATGCATAGCACCATCTAGGGATAAAATATCACAACGTTTCAGCACAAATCAAAGCTACGCAGCTCCTCAATTCAGGCACATGTGCGCAGCAGTACAGGATATGTTGCGCCAACAGTTTAATTTTGTCGGGAGAGGGAACGTTTTCCGAAATATTTTCGGTTCCAACTTTGATGTTGAGAAATATCTATCTTTAATCCGCAATTTCAAATATCGTCAGGCTAGTACAAAGACGTTAAGAATATCAGCTCATAGATTGCCTGTTGAAACCGATCGACACAACAATGTTTGTTTCATATAGAGTACTGATGTAAACATTGTGATCTACGGACGGCATTTCAGTTTTATTCTTCTGCAGCAATACCACCAATGTTAGAGTTAACTTTATAAATAACTTAAATAATCTTCCCGGTAAATAAATTCTTCCTTCTCTTCATTTAATCTATCAATATAATGCCTTAATGGCTATGCATGACAAATCAATTATGACTCTTGTTCCAAATTAATTTTTGTGCATAAATCATGTTAACTTCTCATGTTAAGTTATAACCCTTTTACTGTTTTACACTCTTCAAGTTGTTTTTCTTTGCCTTTGGACACCTTAAATTCCTCAGTCACACAACAAGCGTAGTTGGCGTTTTTAGGCGCTGGATAGAGAGTTAGGGGCACTGGGGCAGAGTTCGGCATGACCTTCTACCATAGCCAAACCATACCTATACCTTTACCCCAGCCCACACCAATACAAAAGGTACACAAGTTAACTTAGTTCCAATGAGAGTGGGAGGTCCTCTCATCTCAGAGGACTGCTCGTCTGCTCTTGATTTTCATGTCAGAACTACGGAACTGAACTAGAAGTGAATTCAAACACAACATTCAGGAACGACTTGTCGCTCTTGATTTCATAAATCATAAGACACTTTGTTCTAAATAACATCGTTTTAAACAGTCAGAGATTCTTGTTTATATGTTTGACCATTTTCGTGCGCATGTTTCACTTAGTGGTATTATCGGCTTCACCTCATAACCAGGCAGTTGTCAGAGCGGTGCCCTTCTGTGTCTTCACACTGACATAAAACATCGCACAAAACTGTGACAAAGCAAATTATTTGTTTTGAGCTAGCACGGCGATATTATTTTAAATTAGTACAATCACCAGAGGAGTGAGTGGCGCGAATCGGCAGGGAATGGGAGGAAATAGCCTCTTCCGCAAGCAACTCTGTTGTTCTACAACGTTCGATTGTGTTCTCAAAAAAATCATGATCCATGATGTATGTCGATAATTATAAAGCCAGATTTCTTACCAGAAACATAGGAAATATAATAGTTTGGCAAATCATTAGCACATGCGTATAAAACGAACGATTGTTAGAATATAGGTGTGGAATTGTTAATTATTGTATGGATTGAATACCTAACATCTGCGCGCCTCCCTTGCACTTTTATCGTTCGATCTGGTGTTTTCTGAAATCCTTGACTCAAATCAAGAAGAAAAATAATGAAAAACCGTGTTTTAAATGGGACCTTATATAGTATCAATGATTTTAAATAACCCTGAGGGTTTTTAAAATCATTGATGCTAAAGTCCCATGTACATCAATTAAAAACTGTGTGTTTGAAAAAAATTCACAATGTCACATAGTTTGGTTAAAAGGAACGTTGATAATTTCGGCAATTTAACGGGCCAAATGCTAACTAGGTTCTCTCGGTAGTCTGCCTGGCGGGCACTCATCGAGACTAACCATTCGTATGGAATCACACGCGCGTGAAACCCGTGCCATTGTGCAAATACTAGAAGGCAAGCAATTCTCTTCTAATTATACTGCCATTAGCACCATTCAAACATCTGGAAAGAATGCGATGCTGTTTTGTACGAGCTGCTTTGAGTGCCAACCATACCTGGCGAGCAATTCAATGTAATGCGAATCATTTTCAACACTTTACTAGGGGCCCAGCAAAAACTCTTATATATTGCATCAAGGCAGTGTTACACGGAACGATTTAATCATAGATTGGTTTGATTTGATGATGAGGGGGGCTAAACAAACTCTAGAGGTGTCCGGGGGAGCATATATAGACTCCCATTTGGCCTGCGTCCTGCGTAACCCACCTTAATAAAAAGGTCTGGAAAAACTAAACAGAAGCAAAAATTGGAAGGTTCTTACAGGACTGAACAAAACTAAGCTAAATGTCTTTCAACTGGACAGATCAACGGGAGAGCCCTTCCTGCATGTTCACCTTTCTGGCCAAAGACGCGTTTTTAAGAATCTGTGACTATTATGTCCATGTTACACTAAAACTGCTCTGCCCACGCGAAAAATTGAAAACGGCTGCACACTGGAATCACTAGGATTGCATTTGCCAAACCATTGCATGCATGTCCTTTGACAACGATAAATTTTCCACTTAACAGCATCGAAATAACACTTTGATTTGGCATCTGCGTTTTCTCAAAGGTACATTTTCACATTCTGACGGAGGCGCATACCCTTATATCAAAAATGGTAGTGGTTACCTTTGGAATTTTATGCGGCTTTCAAACAAACAAGATAATAATCTTGATGGAGTTTGTTTATAGCGATAAGAGACTATTGGTATTTTCATTACCCAATTATCTTTGACGTTAAGATTAAAGAGCCTGAAAAGCAATTATGCGCGGATGAATATATTCACGATAAACTAGTGTTACATTGCCATAGCCACAAATCGTCACAATATCAATGCCAATGATATGTTTGCCAGTGTGAACACTACAAACTAGACATTGTACATTGGACTCAGGCAAATCAATCATGTCAATTTTAGATGACTGACAAATCACTGTTTTGGGGGTTTCGCATGAAAATGTGTTCTCGTTCCCAGATGATATTTTTATCTATACAGTTTCATTCTGAGAATATTAGAAAATAACGACTTCCAATTATAACTCAATTATTCCTAGAATTTCAGCTATTCAGATGTGCATCTGTTGGTACAGTATTATAAGTAATATATGCACGAGGGCCTATTGTAACAAACACGAGCCGAAGTTGTTGTATATGTTATACTCATCAACACGGCTGCTCATGCTGTGTATAGCTATATAGCTCCTGATTCGTTTTGATAAATATATTCATATTCTTCAATGATCTTGAAGATATGAATGATATTCGGTGAGAAAAATGAACTTAAATTTTATGTAGGTCAGCAGACAACCTTCTTCACGGTCATGATTTTCCAGGCCTAGCCACTAGCCAGGAGAGTTTACCAGAATACAAATATACTCGATAACACAGACTCAATATACCAGTATATACCTAATATTCAAGGCCATCTCTGCCTTTGCGAGTACTTAATCTTGGGTAAATGTATTTCATTGTGTTTTCTTCACAATAATAAAATAAAATTAGAAATTCTCTTGCAATTCCTAAATTCCAACAAGGCACTTCTTTAGGTTGTTCTTCGTTGTGCTTGGCCAATGAGCAAAAGCCCAAAGCTCCGGTCATAACTCCCCTCACTGGGTATGCTGTACCTCACTGGGTATGCGTGGTTACCAAGTGAACATCAGAAAAGTTGAGGGTACGACATATTGCATCTCCGGGTACGACATATTGCATCCCCGGGTACACAACATATTGCATCTCCTGGTACGACATATTGCATTTCCTGGTACGACATATCACATCTCCGGGTACGACATATCTCACCTCCAGGTACAACATATTGCATCTCCTGGAACGACATATTGCATTTCCTGGTACGACATATCACATCTCCGGGTACGACATATCTCACCTCCAGGTACAACATATTGCATCTCCTGGTACGACATATTGCATCTCCTGGTACGACATATCACATCTCCGGGTACGACATATCTCACCTCCAGGTACAACATATTGCATCTCCTGGTACGACATATTGCATCTCCTGGTACGACATATCACATCTCCGGGTACGACATATCTCACCTCCAGGTACAACATATCACATCTCCGGGTACGACATATCACATCTCCGGGTACGACATATCACATCTCCGGGTACGACATATCTCACCTCCAGGTACAACATATTGCATCTCCTGGAACGACATATTGCATTTCCTGGTACGACATATCACATCTCCGGGTACGACATATCTCACCTCCAGGTACGACATATTGCATCTCCTGGTACGACATATTGCATTTCCTGGTACGACATATCACATCTCCGGGTACGACATATCACACCTCCAGGTACAACATATTGCATCTCCTGGTACGACATATTGCATCTCCGGGTACGACATATCTCACCTCCAGGTACAACATATTGCATCTCCTGGTACGACATATTGCATCTCCTGGTACGACATATTGCATCTCCGGGTACGACATATCACATCTCCGGGTACAACATATTGCATCTCCTGGTACGACATATTGCATTTCCTGGTACGACATATCACATCTCCGGGTACGACATATCACATCTCCGGGTACGACATATCACATCTCCGGGTACGACATATTGCATCTCCGGGAACGAAATAAAGTACGAGATAATGCACAATGCAGACATGATACAGTACAGAACGTCCAATAATTTTGTCTACAATCCCCCTCTATAATTTGCCACCAAATCCAAAGCGGCTATAGTCTCTCTCGAATTGGCTTCATTGTTGATTGGGTCTATCCAGTCTGTTTTGAGATCAGTTTCCGTTCAATTGTGTCTATCGAGTATTGGAGCAAGTCTAGCAAATCTAAAACTATTGGCACCACATATATAATGAAAAGGATAATTCTCATTCTGATAACTGCCATTGAGTCATTGACAACAATCTGCTGTACGATAGTATTTTGTGAATTCCACCTATTAACGAATGTTTTCCATTGTTTTTTTAATTTTCAGCCCACTTCGTGCGCTTGGGGAGGATTATATCAATTTTAGAAAGAAAAACAAGAGAGAATAGTAAAGGATGTTTTTATGATATGTTTTATCTGTTTTGACTCAATCAACACAAGGTGGACTGCTTATCTCAAACTTTGATCATTTATATAAAACTTCAAGAGTATTTTGGCATCATAGCAATCTTAATTGTGAACCGCTACGGACTGCAGGTATCACGACGTTTGCGCGGAGAATATACAAAAACTACATTCAGGTAAGTTTTGCGCTTGCATATCTTATTAGTTCGCAACTGTACAGTAGAATAACAAATCAAGGTATGCATGTGGCGCAAATCAGAAAGCTGAACTCGGCTCCACTGTCCAGAAGAAAACGCAAAAATGTAACTATATATGGGCAGTTCTGAATTCAACCTGCGTCCCATTGCGAAGCTCGGTACGAGTACGCCTTTACCACTTCTTTCGCCCTTTTTAAAAGAGTTTCAGCGACCGGAGGCTCACTTAAAGCCCAAGAAAAAAGGAAGAGTCAAAGTGAATCCATTCTATTTTATACATACATGATTTAGGGATTGAGCTGACAATTCCAGACTACATCGGATCATTTATATAGCGCGCGGTAAAGTTATAAAGACACAGGAACTACGCTCCTCTGGAGAATTAATCTACTAAATAGGCCATGCTCAATAACCATGATTGTAGTTATATTATAGATCGGAATATTTTTAACAACCGAAAGTGAGCGCGGACGAAATAAAAGATAAAATGAGGAATTTTTACGTCGTTAGAAAAAATCCGTTTATTTGTATCGGTACTCTCTTACAATATAGATACCTTGCATCCTTGCGCATTCAATGGCCGCAAAATTAAACACAAATTAGTTGTTCCTAAATACAACTGACATTTTAAACAAGAAATCTGTCAGTATTCACAACTATTTTAAACATTTAGCAAAGAGTCATTCATTAAGGTGTCACTGGGATGACGTGATAAATGTTAACGTTATCAAATATTACGGCTGCATTCCATAATTTTTACAAATAAATCTTAGCGCGTGCCAAGTAAAACGCGTCGCACAGCTAGATTATATGCACACTTTTGGTAAAGATCTCTGGATAAAGATAACACTCGCAGACTAGTTTTTCAATGCATTGACCCTATATACACATTCCGATCCAGCCAAATATCTTAAATAGTGAAGTTACTGTCCAGACTATATACTATATAGTATATAGTATAACCTTTTGACGGTTAATCATTCCAAGGACCAACTCTTTGGGATCTATGTTTTGGGATCTATGTTTTCTCGAGTGTACACGAATCAACAGCTTGAACTCAACATCTTGAAAAAGAAGCATTTCAATCTAATAATGAAAGACATAATATACATACAATCTCAGGGAAGATAGGGAAACTGATTTAGCACCACCTATGCCAAAAAGAGAATTCGGCAAGAGGTGCTTCAGTTATAACGGTGCCTTGCACTGGAATATGAGGCAAAAAATGCTGAATCCTTTAAGCTCTTTCAAATCAATATTAAAACCGAAGAATGAGTTGAAACTTGCTCGTGTATGTTCGTGCATTAAAAATCATTGTATTTTCTTGTTCCCTTTCCTGCAATCTATCGTCTTATTTTATCTTTTTTCATATTTCTTTATTTTTTGTAAATAGCTAATTCTATATTTCACGCCCCTTATGGAAATCAGCCTCCTAACGGTTGTTGAGGCTATAGCGTGATTAAATAAAGTTTGGACTGATGTATGAGGTGGACAATATGTAATCCATTGTTAATTTCATTGCCAGGTAGCCGAAATTCGAAAGATATTTTGATAAATGAAATGGTTATCCTGTATTAATATGTTCAATTTATTATGTCTTCGACTTCGTACAAGTAGGCATTATAAGATGTTATCATTTATTTATTTATGTTTCAAGAACAATGAAATACAGTGCTTATATATAGGCCTATATGAAAAAATGCCCAGTAACGAACTGCGGAAATGCAACATCTATATAGTGTGACATGTCAGGAAATTGTATAAAGTTTACTCGCGCAAGATGGCAGACATAAAAGATGTTATCATTTATTTATTTATGTTTCAAGAACAATGAAATAGAGTGCTTATATATGAAAATATAAGTTTTAGGTTTAACATTTTAATCTATTTAATCTTAATCCGCCTCTTGCTGCTACTCTTAACTGATGTTTATATTGCGCATAATCCAATATACCTGAAGTATGGACCCTTCAATTGAGTGCAAACCTGTCTCAGCATGTTTCTACACGTCCCCACGAGTGAATAGTTAGCAAGTGCTAATAGTTTAAATATTTAGAAACTGAATCGATTGAATCCGAGCCCAACAACGCTTTACCACATCCATTCGGGCGGTGGGCTGAAGTAAAATTTGGCAGTTTACGAAGATTGCATACTACTTCTGGTCACAATTGCATGATATTCCTTACTCATCCTCAGTTTGGACAACCTTCGAGTGTTATCTCGCTTCTATTAACAGTAATCAGCCTAATTATTAACCTATAATTATCTAATCAACCTCAGACCTTTTTGTTTTGAGATCTAAAGCTGTGATTAAAAACTGGATCTCCATGCAACAAACATGAGAACCAATAGATCAGATAAATTATCCGCGCATGCGCAAAATAATAATGGCGCGCAACAAAAAGACGCTTTGCCTTTATTTTTTGTTAAGTTTCATTTGTACCAACGAGATCTTTCCGAATCTCAGAAAGTTTACGAAAAAACCTAAATTTTTTTATATTGATTGATAGCCGCGGTTTCACTGCGTTTACAACCTATAAATACGAAATGCTATTTGAATATTCTGTCATTTCCTGTCATTGCAATAAAGAAATAGCCGCAAATAAATAATAATGAGGGAAGCAGAATGTGTTTATCAACTTTCCGCATCCAACCACAATGCATATGTTATGAAGAAATGTTATATTTTAGGGGCTACTTCTTATCACACTAAAAAAGCAAATATTTTCCCCAGTTTTAAAACATTCAGTAAAATTAGCAATTGGGAGAAAGTTATTGTAATTAATAGCAAAAATCACAATTTTGAATTTTAGTACTGAAATTTTACCTAAATATATTAGTACAAACAACGGAGTCCCATCATCTGGAAATTAAAAAAACTTCAGACATTTGGCGTCGTAGAATGATAGACATAGCCACAGATATAAGAACCACAAGACCAAATAGATCTATAAAATGTCGTAAAGAAAAATGATTAAAATTAATCTTTAAAATCTTCAAAATTCTGCGTCTGTGAAATGTATTGAGAAGTATCCACACTCTACTTTCGACTGTTGTGGTGTAGTTTATTGTATATAGGCCATTAAGGTAAGTAGATTGAACAAACTGTCTTGAATATAATGCCAGTAAGCAAGCATAACTGCATTTTTGGTTTCACTTAATGCAAACACGTCCCGCATCGTCAATTTTTTTAGCTTGTTTATGTGTATATAAAAACATAAATATATCATGTGCTACTGCATGTAAATATTTTTAAAAACGAAATTGCTGGCGACCAGTAGCAGTCTGTAGCCCTATCATAAAAGTATACGCATGAACTAACCTTCGTTTGAAAGTAGAAATCAGTGGAAATCAAGTATAAATAAGTCAGTATAAGACTATAAGTGTTAGAGAAAAAAAGGTGTGGCTAAGTAATGAACTGGGACCGCGAACAGCCACGTTCGTGATCAGTGGATGTTATTAAGACCGGCTTACACTACTATCAAAGTTTCTGTGATCACAGTAGGAATTCTGCATTGGTAAATTCTGAGATTTGAAGGATTTGTAAGAAATAGTTTTTGAGGGAACTGATTCAGTGTTAATAAACACCAAGTCAGTTTCCTTAACCGCATATCTTACAAATCCTTCAAAACTTAGAATTTATACCTACGCACAGGGACGCCGGAACGATAAAAAGGCAAAGGGGGGCAAACGCACACCAAAGGGGCACCTCTATAGATTCCGGTGAAGATATAAACCTACAGTACAATAATGTGTTGACTTGCCAAAGAAAGCAAACGCACTTAATCAGGTCACATTCAAGATCACGCCTCATGGTTTTGCCCAAAAAGCATCACTGGAAATGTGATTTATCAGGTAGTATTTTACAACTCAAAGGGCACTTCTGCCCCTCCCCCCTTGCCCCTCCTAGCAAAAGTCAAGAGGGGCAGCTGCCCCTCCTGCCCCCCCCCCCC